AACCTGGGTCTTCTGCAAGAACAACCAGTGTTCTGAACTACTGAGCCATCTCTCCAGCCCAATTACCATTGCTTTTACATCCATTTTACCTATGTATGCTAATCCACTACACTTAGACACATGTTCTGTGTTAGACTAGGTACTGCACTAGCCTCTACTTCAAGTTATGCTATTTACAGAAATGGAAGGGACACCCAGGTCACAAAGTAACAAAACTAACTGACAGTGCCTCTTCTTCCTCTTCTTATGCTACTTTATTGTATTCAATTTCAGATACACAATACAAGATACTATGGCAGACTTATAATCCCAGCACTTAGGATGTGGATTCAGGAGTTCAAAGTCATTCTTGTCTACATATCAAGTTCAAGGTCAACCAGGCTACATGAAACCAGTCTCAAAAATAAATAAATGAATAAAAACCTGTAATGATTATGTGTATCAGTAGGCTGAGAGAAAGCTCAGTTGGCAAAGCACTTGCCTCACAAGCATGAAGTTCGATACTCAGAATTCAAATAAGAAAACTGAGCACCAGCACTGCAGACATGTGGCTCCTGGGGCTGGTTGGTCTGCCAGCCAAGCTCTAATCAAGCCCCAGGCTACCAAGAGACTGTCTCTAAAAATGAGGTGGAGGCAGACAGTGCCTGAGGAGGAATGGCACTGAATTCATCCACTGGCTCCCACATCCACATGTATGCAGGAACATGAACACACAGAAAGACAGCTTGTCTTCTGAGATGTTAAATACAAGCAACTAACCTACTAGTAAATGAAATTTGGGGCTGGGGATGTAGGTTGGAGGCAGAATGCTTGCCTAGCATGTGTAAGACCCCAGGCTCAATAGCCAGTACTACAAAATAACAAAAATGTAATTTGGCAATTTATCAAAAGCCTTGAAATCTGTAAATGAAGTTTCAGAATGTCCATAATGTTTTTGTGATTAAAAATTATTTTGGAGGTTGGGGATTTAGTTCAGTGGTAGAGCGCTTGCCTAGCAAGTGCAAGGCCCTGGGTTCAGTACTCAGCTCTGAGAAAAAAAAAAAAGAAAAAAAATTATTTTTGAGCTAGAAGCAATTTAGAAATAGCAAAAAGAAAAACTCCCTATCCCCATTTTCCTAATAACTGGATATAAATTCTTTTTTAAAAAAGATTTATTTATGCTGGGTGTAGTGGCTCATGCCTTTAAACACAGCACTCCAGAGGCAGAGGCAGAGATGGACAGATCCATGAGAGTTCAAGGCCAGCCTAGTCTACATAGGGAGTTCCAGGCCAGCTGGGGCTACAGGGAAACCCTGTCTCAAAAAGACCAAAAAGGGGGTGGAGAGATGGCTCAGCAGTTAAGAACACTGGTTGTTCTTGCAGAAGCCCTAGGTTCGAATCCCAACACCCACATGGCAGCTAACAACTGTCCGTAACTCCAGTCTTGGGGGATCCGACAGCCTCTTCTGACCTCTGTGGGCACTGCACCACATGGGGCACTTACCTACATGCAGGCAATACACGCATACCCATAAAATAAAATTTAAAAAAATATTTATTTATTTTATGTGTATGAGTGTTTTTATGTGTGTGTCTGATGCCTAGATCCCCTGAAACTGGAGTTACAGTTGTTAGCTTCCTCGCAGGTGCTAGGAATGGAATCCAGCCTCTGCAGTAGCAGTCAAGTGTTCTTAACCACTGAGCCATCTCTCCAGCCTCTGGCTATAAATTCTTACTGAAGACAGCTGTAGCCTCTCCTCAGCCCACACATCCCATCAGAGAAACCTACAGACAAACCCTGCTCCATAAATTCCCTCCCATATATTTACCTTCCTACACTTTCGCATCCTTGGAAGCCTATGGCCTTTTTCCTTTAAGTTCTAGTCTTCCACAAACTCACTGTTCTTTGCAGAAGATGCTATGAAGAGTTGTTTTATTTTTCAGACAGGATCTGACTTTGTAGCCCAGGCTGGCCTGGAATTTACCCCTGCTGCCTCAGTCTTCCAAGTGCTCAGATTACAGGTATGCACTACCACACTTGGCGACAAGAGTTCTAAGTTTGTGCCTCTTCCTTGAGGAGTTTGTATGCCCCTTGGGTATGTCACTTTCTATGACTCTTCTTTGAGAAGCCCATACCCATCATGCTCCTGGGTGTTTCTTGCCTTTCTCTCTGAGCACCTCTCTTAACGCTTATGCTTAAATCTGTATCTGTATTGAGTTGGCGAGATGATTCAGTGGGTAAACGCACTTGCCCCCAAGCCTGACTATCTTAGTTTGATTCCTGATCCCTGATCCCTGCAATGCACATGGTGGAAGAACCAAAGTAATACCTGCAAGTTGTCCTCTGACTTCTGCATTCATTCATGGCATACATGCCTTCCCTCCCCCAAATAAACAAACAAATACAATAAAACTTAAATATCTTCATTAAACCCCAATTCTGCTTCATAAAGAATGTTGTTTTTTCTTTTCGCAGGATGGGAGAATTAAATGTTAGGCAAGCACTCTACATCTGAGCTCTGAGCTATATATACCTACAGTCCTAAGCTGCTGTTTTGAGTTGTTTTTCAGTGAAACTTCAGTGAAGTATTCCCATGGTGAATACTGCACACATTTCAATAAACACCTTTTTCTTTTTGGGTTTTCTGACACAGTGTCTTGCTGTGCGCCCCAGGCTGGGATGGAACTCACTATGTAACCTAGGCTGCCCTCCAATTTATGATACTCCTGCCTCAGTTTCCTGAATGCTAAGACTACAGGTATGTATATCCTTATACCCAACTACCTCGTTTTCTCCTGTTAATCTATTTTATTTTATGTGACCCAGCTAAGAACTAAAAGGAAAAAAACTATTTTTTTCTAGAGACAGATGGATCTCTATGAGTTCGAGGCCAGCCTGGTCTACATAGCGAGTTCCAGGCCAGTTGGGGCTACAGGGAGACCCTGTCTTGAAAAGACCAAAATAAAATATTGTTAATAGTAAAAAAGTATATCAGCAATAAGATTACAACATAAGGGAACACTTAAACATTGGCATGTTACCATAATAGTTTATTATTCAATCAAAAAACATTATTCTTTTTGCAGGGCTGGGGATCAAACTCAGAGCCAATAAGCTACACCTCAAGTCCAATATTTATTTATTTATTTAATGTTTCTGTGTTTTTTCCTGCATGCATGTAAGTATACCCATGGATGCAATGCCCACAGAAGCCAGATGAGGGTGTCAGATCCCCTGGATCTAGAGCCACGGGTGGTTGTTAGCCACCATGCCTGTGTAGGGAAACCCAACCCAGGTCCACTGCAAGAGCAGCTAGTGCTCTTAACTACTGAATCATCTCTCTCTAGCCCAGTAATTTAGAAAAAGATTTATCATTATTATTTAAAGATTCATTTGTTTTTATTTTATACATATGACAGTTTGCCTGTTGCCCCTGGGAACCAAAAGAGGTGTCAGATCCCCTGGAACTGGAATTACAAACAATTGTGAGCCAAATCTAAGTCTTCTCCAAGAATGGCAAGCGCTATTAACTGCTGAGCCATCTCTCAAGTCCCTATTAGTTTTACTTTTAGTTACATGTATATGTGGTTACGTTCACACGGGTTCAGGTACCCAGAGAGGTGGTTGTGGGCTGCCTTATGTGACTGCTGGGGACTGAACTTAGGACCTCTGAAAAAGCAGTAAGTACTCTTAACCGATGAGCCATCTCTCCAGCCGTTTTTTTTGTTTTGTTTTTTGTCTTTTCTGAGACAGAGTCTCCCTGTAGTCCCAGATGGCCTGGAACTCACTATGTAGGCCAGGCAAGCCTTGAACTTACAGAGATCCCCACTGTCTCTGCCTCCCAAGTGCTGTGGGTTTTTTTTTTCTTTTGTTTTGTTTTGTTTTGTTTTTTGTCTTTTTGAGACAGGATCTCCCTGTAGCCCCAGCTGGCCTGGCACTTACTATATAGACCAGGCTGGACTCAAACTCACAGAGATCTGCCTGCTTCTACCTCCTGAGTGCTAGGATTAAAGGACTGCACCACCACAACAGGCTCAACCCTTTCTTCTTTAAATTGCTTGTCAGGAATTTTGTCACAGCACAAAGGAAAGTAACCAAGACAGATATATTCATAATAAAATGATGAAAAACAACACATACGTGATCTCATTTCTGCAGGCACATACAAAATTTATGTATGTCGGGCATGGCCATTTCATGAATATCATAATTCTCGTCTTCAAATCTTAGGTACAAGACTAACCAGGTTTAAATGGTAGTTTATTTGTTCCCATCAATGTATCTCTCAAGCTATTCCTCAGAGTTTGAAAAAGGTCGTGTCACATAATGGTCACCCAGTCTGTCAACTACATTTGCCACAAAGGACCCAACTTCCTGTTCTGATTCTCATTTTCCAACACCCTTGCTGATAAAGCTGTGTGAAGAGACCTCCCCACTGCTCATACTCATGAGGTAATGAGAACGAAGAATCAAAGAATGAAGCCTATGGGCCTCAAAGCTTTCAGACCTCCCAGTGGACACGAATAGCATGATAGGGAAAAGCTGAAGGGTTTGTGGGGCAGCCTGGCTATCCAGTGCTGCCAGTCAAAGGACCCAGTTACACACAGACTTATGGAGAAACAAGTTGGTAAGATAAACACGCAGTTGTCAATGGTAGTTATCGTCTAGTTTTCAGAAGGTTTTCTCGTATCTGTGATTTTTCTAATTTTCTCCAATGGCAAGGTTGTTTTTCAGGCAGGTCAAAATTTTTTTGAGTTAAAAAAGGAAATATATAAGCAGCAAATATGTAACTGAGAGCCATTTACCAAACTAAAGCCAGATACAGTGATACACGCCTATAATCTTAGGGCTTTGGAGATGGAGGCAGAAAGACTAGCCTCAACTACATATTGAGTTCAAGGCCAACCTGGGCTTCAAAAAACAAACAAAATACTAAAACTAATTTCTAATAACTTTTCAATCATTTGTCCTTCAATTCTAACCCCAAAGCCAACCCTCTTGCTGTTCCACAGGTACTTACACTCCCGAAGACACTCTGTGTCAGTGCAGTAGGACTGGGACTGCCGCAACTGCAAGCAAGAAGAAAAGAAGTTACCAATGGACTTGACTGAAGTAATCATCAGATTGCGTCTGTGGCTAGGAATGTAGCGCAGTGTTAGAAATATGTAGTTAGAATGTATGAGGCCCTAGATTTAATCCCCCAAACCACAAAATAAACAAGTGAATAAAAAAATTTAATGATGGAAAAAGAAATAAGGAAAGTTTATGGTAATCCCAGCACTCCAGATAGAATCTGCAGGGAGATCATGAGTTCATGGCCAGCATGGAATACATAAGCAGACTTGTCTCAAAAAGGGTGGTGAGGAGGACAGCCACAGCAGTGGCTGTCACTGTGGCAGCAAGGACAGTAAACAGGTCTATAATCTTAGGTATAGACAGACTGAGGACAGGCCCTAAAAAAACTCCAAAATACCCCCAACAAAAATAATTTTCAAATTAATTGCAATCTGGTACAAGTCACCCATTTAAAATAAGACAACCTCTGACAGACAGGCCAGTTGCAGTGTATAATTACCTTCACACAGAAATAAACTCGAGAGTTTTCTTCTCAAATCAGAAGAAAAAGATTGTTTTTGTAGAAAATGCACTTTTGAAAGGGAAAACACTATTTTTCTTATATTTGCATAAAGAAGCAACGGTTGGAAAAATAAACTAATAAAAACATTTATGACCGAGGTAAGGGAAGCTAGAGGACAGGAAAGTAGAGTTGATGCTCTCCATGCTTATCTTGTATCTGAGACAGGGTCTCATGTAGCCCAGGCTGGCCTCAAACACTACATAGCAGAGGATGACTTTGAACTCCTGATCTTCCTTGCCTCCACTTCTCAAGTGCTGGGATTTCAGGGATGTATCACCATCCCCATCCACTTTAAGGTTTTGTATGAGCTGACTTTATGACCTTGAAATGAGATTATACATTTAAAAAAATATAGCATCAATAACATAAGTTAATCTATAGATGTCCAATTTATGCTAAGATTTTAGGTAGCTAGAAATTAAAATCTCACCTCTTAAAAGAGATGACTGAAAGAGAAAGAAAATGAGGAACATGCAACTTTCCAATTCAGTCTCATTATAAATGATACTTTTTGGGGTTTTTTTTTTTTTGGTCTTTTTGAGACAGGGTCTCCCTGAAGCCTCAGCTAGCCTGGCACTAGCTATATAGACTAGGCTGGCCTCAATCTCATAGAGATCTGCCTGCCTCTGCTGGGATTAAAGGTGTGCACCACCACGCCGGGCTAAATGATACCTTCTTATATATTAAATAGCCCACCATTTGCAATTGCTTATACAGCAACCTATGGAGTGAACTGCTTAGCTCTTAAGCATGGCCTAGATTTAAGATGTGGTAATGTTTTAGTCAAGTTATTTAATACCTCTAAGCTTTAGTTTTCTCATCTAGCAAAATGGGGTCAACAAAACTACTTTTATCTCAGAGTAGCATTGAGGATAAAATATATAATACATGCTGGCCTGGTGGCGCACGCGTTTGATCCCAGCACTTGGGAGGCAGGGGCAGGCAGATCTTTGTGAGTTTGAGTCCAGCCTGGTCTACATAGAGAGCTCCAGGCCAGCTGGGGCTACAGGGAGACCCTGTCTCAAAAAGACAAAAAAAAGATAAAACGAAACAAAAAACACACAATACATGTGAAATGCAGTAACAATCCAAGAATGCTAACTACAATTACTGCACCATACAAAGTGTGGCCTCATCTAAAGTTACTGCAATTAACTTAAAACATTCTGTAAATTACTCTCTAAGATGATCAAGCTTATTCTGGTACATAATACCAAAAATAATCTTGAGTCAGAATGAAAAAAGAAATGTTAACTAATATAAAATTATGTTGCATATCTTAATTCCTTCTGAATCCAAAAGGAATCAATCTAAATATTCTTACTAAAATAATTCTAAGTGGGGGTTGGAGAGATGGCTCAATAGTTAGGAGAACTGGCTGCAATTCCAAAGGACATGGGTTTGGTTCCAGCACCCACATGGTGGCTAACAATGGTCTGTAACTCTAGTTCCAGGGGATTCGACACCCTCTTCTGGTCTCCATGGGCAGTGTATAACATGGGTACAATTACATCCAGGCAAAACACACATACACATGAAATAAAAACAAATAATTTAAAAAAAAATTTTTTTTATTTTTTTAAGTGTATGCGTGTATTGCCTGTATGTGGGTAAGTGCATCCATGTCATGCAATGCTCACGGAGGACAGAAGAGGCTGTCAGATCCCCTGGAACTGGAGTTATGGACAGTTGTTAGTTGCCGTGTGTGTACATTTACAGGCACTCATTTTCATTTTCCTAAAATTTGAAAGAACAGTAAGCTCTCCCAGAGGACCTGGATTTGGTTCCTAGCACTCACAGGGCAGCTAGCAACCATCTGTGACTCCAGATCCAGGGGTTCTGAGGCCCTCTTCTGGCCTCCTTGGGCACTGCACCACACGGGTGTACTTACATACATGCTGGCAAAATATTCATACCTGTAAAATAAATTGTTTTAAAGAGCTGGTGGTCCACAGTATAACATTTTCAGTTAATCATGATATTATAGCTAATTTGTACATAATTAAGGAGAAATCCAGTGCTTCCTAATGAGCATAACTTACATCCTCCTAAAACTCAACATTCATTTCATCTTCACTTTGGCCTTTTAGTTTAGAAATTAAATTCTTAGAGAAACCTTTGGTTTAGGGGCTAGGGCTGTAGCTCAGTATAATGTGCTTGCCTAGCATGCATTATAATATTGATTCCCAGCACTGTGCAATCAGCCAAGCAAACAAAGGACCTTGGTTTGTACTGCTAATTATATTTTTTTTTCTTTTGTCATCTTTCTGAGACAGGGTCTCCTTGTAGCCCCAGCTGTCCTGGAACTCACTATGTAGACCAGGCTGGCCTTGAACTCACAGAGATCCACCTGCCTCTGCTTCCTGAGTACTGGGACTATAGGGATGCATCACCACACACAGCTTTTTTCACATACTTTTTTTTTTTTTTTTGTATTTTAAAAGTGTTTTTAACCTAAAAAATGTATATTCTGGGCTGGAGGTACAGTCCAGTGCTAGAGCATTTGTCCTGGATCAATCCACAGCACCTCAAAAAATTAAATTCTGTCTCTTAAATTCAAGTATTTAAACTTTTTTCTTTCTCTTTTTAAAAGTATTAATTTATCTACTTACTGTGTTATTATGTAGGCGCATGTGTCAGAGGACAATTTAAAGGAGTCAGTTCTCTCCTTCTATCACAAGCGTTCTGAGGATCAAAATCAGGTTTTCAGCATACAGCGTCCTTACCAGCTGAACCATCTCATTGGCCTTTATTTTTTCCTTATTAACAAGTAGACCTGCCTGCTTTATGAGGGAGTCATGCAGTTTATTTCTTCTCTTTTTTTTGGTCTTTTTGAGACAGGGTCTCCCTGTAGCCCCAGCTGGCCTGGAACTCACAATGCAGACCAGGCTGGCCTTGAACTCACAGAGATCCACCTGCCTCTGCCTCCCAAGTGCTGGGATTAAAGGCGTGAGCCACCACACCTGGCCCTTATCTCTTCACTTTCTAACCAGAACCTGAATTAGGAGATTAGCTTGCTTTTTAATTTTTGTTTTTGAAAACTGCTTCATTCTTTTCATTACCTTTTAGAATATTCAGGTAGTGAAACAGATTAGGTGGACCCATGTCTCCCTGGGGCATTGGGGGAGGAATTAAGTATTGTCAGAGCCCTGTTAAATACTGTTAATGATGTCTTCATTAGAAGTACCCCGTCTTGTTTATTTTTCATTTAAGTAAGCTTTTAGGGGCCTAGGGCAATATGACTCCCTAATAGATCTTTCCCTGGATGCTCCAGCTGCCTTAAGAGAAGGAATAACAGCCCAGTAGCCTGCCAGACTTCATGCCAGTACAGCTACTCTGAAAACTCCATGGAGGCCTTGAAGAAGCTGCATGGTAACCATAGCTTCCAGATGCTGAAGTGCAACTCCAGCTCTAGAAGGCACTAGGCCAGCCACAGCTGTTTCAAAACAGTTTGTGCTGGTTGTTTTTGTCATCACATCTCTGTGAACTCTAGATGACCTGCAGCCATCACCACCCAGGCCAGAGGGAGAAAAGTCCTGTGGCTGGTGCACACAATGTCCTTAATTTCTGTAACTGACTTTTGTAACTAGTACAAACATGATCCCTTACATTCATGACTGGTGCAAACAGTGCATGGTACATGGAAGATTGCTCATTAGTGAACTGGCTCAGCAAACTTCCCTAAGTTACTCCATTTTGTTCAGAGCCATTTCAGCAACAACTTTGCTCCACACCAAAAGGAAAAGGGGGGCAACCTTGGGCCTTGGAAAATTGCCCTCACCATGAATCATGGAATGTGCTAATTCCAGATATTATATTTTTACTAACCAGCTTGTTTTCGCTTCTGTAACCTGCTTGCTGCCTTGGGTCACCCTGACACAGGGCATAAGACCACCCTTGTTATCTTGTTATTGTATGACCACCTAGAAGTTACTTACCTTGACTGTCTTATTTTACTTATTATGGCTAAAGCAGTTGGCTAGTTTTAATGTCACAAAGTTGAGTGCCAAGTTATATGACTGTATCACTTGTCTGTACAATGATTGGTTGTTAATAGAATCAAAATACTGCTATGTTGTACAAACCTGATTGGTTCACAAATGTCCTGTTTTAATAATAATTCTGTAATCCTATAAAAACTCTGACTTAACAATCATCAGGGCTGCTTCTACTCCCGAGATAGACAGCCCGGCCAGTCAAAAATTAAATTTTACCTTGCTACTTTTCTTAAAGTGGTGTTGGTGATTTTTTACAAACTCTGTCCTATAACAGCCATGGGTTCAGCATGAGCCACAATTGTGGACCTAATTGATTGAACCCCAGACATCCTACTGCTCTTGATTTTAGGGAACAAAGCAAGTATATCCTATAAAAACTCTGATCTGACAATCATCAGGGCTGCTTCTATTCCCGAGATAGCCCGGCTGGTGG